ACCATTCTTACAACAGCCACCGTAATACCACTGAGTCTCTATAAAGACCTAACTATTTCCTATATGTATAATTTATCTGGGGGGAATAAAAATAACAGCCTTCTATTTTCTTGAACCCCGTTCAGCTTATATCCATTTCTCCGGCCCCTTCCTATACCCAGTCTTTTCTCTCACTTTCACTCTGTAACCTCTGTATACTACTGACATTCTCGACTTGCTTGGAAGGAAATGTTTAAAAAAAAACAAAACAAAAAATATTGAATTCGATTCTTACTGTGTGCTTCTTGTGTCGCACTGAATCAATCTTAGCAAATATCAATAGTGATTATAATGATAATAATAATCATAATCATAATAATAATAATAATCAAATTAATAATAATAATCTTAATAATAATCATAATATTAATAATCATAATAATAAAAATTGTTCTGACAAGTACAGCCCCACTTTACGAAGAGTTTTATCTATGTAATTTTTTTTTTTTTTTTTTTGTCAGTGGAAAGTGTCATGATGCCATTTCTAACCTTAGGTCCCTGGGTGGGACCCGGAAAGAAATGTGTAAACGTCAGAAATCAAAGAAAATAATAATAATAATAATAATAATAATAATAATGATAATAATAATGATCGTAATAATAATGATAATAATAATAATAATCACAATAATAATCATAATAATAATCATAATAATAATAATAACAATAATCATAATAATAATAATAATAATAATAATCATAATCATAATAATAATAATAATAATAATCATAATAATATTGCATAATTCTCATTCTAGTGCTGTTCGGGTTCAGCGGGTTCAGTTGCATATCACTTATCTACTTGGACAAGCCACCCCTACGCACCCTCAGTAACTTCAGTCTCTTGAGATGAGAATGGTTCTAAGGCGAGAGGAGTGGGGCGCTACCGGGAGAACTGTGGTATTGATGGTCTCTATGGCAACATTCTTTGGACCAACTTTGATGGCTTACAGGTGCGTGAGGTGTGGTGCTTGTCTCTTGTGAACAACTAGCAGAGAAAGCTTGGGACCGATCCTTGTTTTGTTTTGATTTTTTTTTGTTTTTTTTCTTTGCTTTTTTTTTTTTTCTCGTTTTACGATCGTCTTTCATCTTTATAATGGACCAGTAAAAAGAAAAAAAATAATACAAACACGTCGATTCGTTCATATATATATATATATATATATATATATATATATTGTATATATATATATATATATATATATATATATATATATATATATATATATATATACGCTTTTGTAGTGGGCGGTATCTTTCCCACCAATAAAATTGCTATAGTTTGATATCATTATTATTATTATTATTATTATTATTATTATTATTATTGTTGTTGTTGTTGTTGTTTGTACACCTCAGGTTTTTTTTTTTTTTTTGGTTGTCTCATTTTATCAGTACGTATATTATTGTTCTTTGCTTTACAGGTTAAAGGATTGTGGTTAACGCAATGAGAAAAATAGATTTAAATAATTTGCACACATTGTCCTAATTAGATATTTTGCCAGTCTGGTCTCCGTGAAAATTTCACTGTTTTTCAATTGAATTTGCTGACTCGTCATCATCCTTAAGTTAATGATTAAATTTCTTGCCTGCTTCTAGATCTACGTCCCACCCTTTCACTGTCTAAATAGTTAAATAAAATAGTTAAATAAAATAGTTCTACTCCAACGGTTCGAAATTCCAATCACCTGAAGAAGGCCGGAGCGTACAACGGCCGAAACTTTGTGAATATGGCAATGAAGATGAGGATAGCAGTTCGAATAATGTAAATAATGCAAGTAATAAAATATATTATTCCTGGTGCAATGGGAGGGCGCGGCCTCGGACAGCTGTTCCCCAGGGCTGGGCACCTCTTCAGTATAATTTTCTCAGTTTCCCCTCTGTCCTTTGACAGAGAAGCCCGTGAGTGCACTCTGTCCAAGGACAGAGACGCAACTGAGAGATGATAAGCCATGCGAAATCCCTCCAAAGCGGAATTTACACACTTCCTCCCCTGAGACCAACACTATAGATTCTTATACTCCTACTCGAAGAGTCCATTTAATAGAGGTGTATCATTTCTTTGTTTGCTGATGCTTATCAGTTAGTTCCCTACAACAATTTGGCAGAGCCTATCCGAGGTTCTAGCTACTCGATGTCAACCAATTTATATGTTTTATATAATGTTCCCAAATCGCTAAAGAAACAATGCTAGCAATCCGGAAGTGCCCAAAAAGAGGCTATAAAGTGACTGTGATTTAATAAGAGAAAGAGAAAAACCTTTGCAGTTTTTGCTAAAAATTAAACTACGACCCCCCCAACTGAATAAGGTGATAATGCCACCAAGTCTCAAGGAGCTGCCGGAAAAAAGAAGGAAAAGGCTTTAAACGGAACCGGAAATCCCACCCTAAATAAGAAACAAAAGATTAACCTCTACTTCTGTTCAAAATACCGGACGATAGGCAAACCTATCTCCTAAAAAATGTAAATAATTAGTAATTAAAATCTCAGGATTTTAAGCGGAGATGTTAGAGGTACAGACTTGATGTAGACTTCAGAAGGAATCGGAAACTCAGTTCTAAACAGGAAACAAGGGATGAACCTCTATTCCTCTTCAAAAGACCGGGGAGGCGTATGAACGTGGCGATAAGCAAATCTATCTACTCCTACTGAAGTAAAAAAAATTGTAAACAAACAGTAAGTTCGGAGATTTAGTCTGCGACATTAGTATTCTGTGCAAGTAGACATTAGAAGGAATCGGAAACCCAATCCTAAATAGGAAACAAGGGATAAACTTCTACGCCTGTTCAAAAACAGGGAAGAAGTATGAACAGGGCGCTCGGCGGAGAAAAAAATTCAGGTTGTTCGGAAAATACTGTCCAATCTTAGGATAAACCGTTTACTTAAATTTAAATTATTTACATTATTCGGACTATGGCCTTTATCTTTGTCGCCATATTTATTACAACGATTCGGCCGTTTGACACTCCGGCCTTCTTCAGGTGTTTGGAATGTCGAACTGAACCCTTTATTTCGCTCACTGGGGTAGACTGTACTAGTTCCACGTGCCATGTTTAATGGATGTCAGTTATAAGGAGTGCCAGAGAAAAGCGATAATAACAACAATTGCAATATGAGCTTTGGTAAAAACATGAAGATAACAGCAAAAATTGCAATAAAAAAATGGTTGCTGAAATGGTTTATAATACCCAGAAATTCATACGCAGATAACCTCAAGTTCACATGGCACAATGGATAAAGTCGTTAGTGACAGAACCCAAAGAGTGTGAGTTCAATACCAGGTTTAAGGCGGACTTGGAGACAGGAATTAACAGGCGATAACTGATAACTGACATCCATTAAACGTGGAACTAGAACAGTATACCCCAGTGAGCGAAATAATGGGTTCAGTTTGAAATTCCAACTACCTGAAGAAGGCCGGAGTGTGATAAATATGGCGACAAAGATGAGGACAATAGTACATAATACCTCATCTCAGAAATATAGACAGATACTTAAATTTTATTTGAGTATAATATTATATATTTGCACAAAAATATATTACTGATATATATATATATGATTTACATGTCCTGATTTGTTTCGTTTTTTTTTTCTTCTTTTTTTGACCACTTCATCCCAAGCAAGGTGATAATGTCACTATCACAGAAGTGGCTACCGGAAATGAAAAGAAGGAACCGGAAACCTAATTCTAAACAGGAAGCCAGGGACAAACATCTATGTTAAATAAAACCGGAAAATCGATAACCTCTCTTCTACTGTCATTTTTTTTTTATTAGACTCTTTCAGAATTTAACTTATAGCTATTTTCCAAGCGTAGCTTAGACGTGGCATAAGGCCGAAAGTATGGGGCACCCAGTGAGGATTGAACTCACTACTTAGTCGTAATGGATCTAGGAAGACAAGCTTGCTAACGATGACACCACCTTGAGGCGGCCATTATTGATTTTTTAAACGTGGCTTAGATGCGGCACGTAGCCGAAAGTATGTGGCACTCAGTGAAGATTGAACTCACTACCCAGTTTTAACGAGATCAGCTTTGCTAACCATTACACCACGCCGAGGCTCCCAAACTTAAACATTATATACCCGTCATGTTGAACAGGAAAAAATAAAAGGGACGTGTTTGCTTATTCTGCATGTGTTCAAGCTTGGGCCTAATGCTTCACAAAGTGATGTCGACATTAACAGAGCAAAGGGTTGAAGAATCCACTTGTGATAAGACAATATGGCGTTGGGTTTTTTGCTTAATTTATAAATAACGATAAATAAGATTCGATAATGTTTGTGATTTCAAATCTGCGATTAGAGTTTTGGTAACCACGTCTCCGCGGATAAGAGGAAACTGCTGAATCCATTATTTTTCTCTCATTTTGCGCCTTTGTTAGATTTTGTTTCTGTATTTCATTTTTCTTATATGTTTTCTGGTTTTTTTTCTTTATTCCTTCTTCAATTTTGTTCTTCTCTCATTTCTCTATCCTTTAGATTCCCATTCTTATTATTTCCAAGTCTTTCTTCTTTAATTTATTACTTCTTCTCTTATGTTTTTTCTTTTTCTTTCTTTTCCTTTCTTATTTTTCACAATTTTTTCTTTACTGATTTTTCTTCCCCCTCTCCTTTAATACATCTTTCTTCTCATTCTTTTTTTCATTTATTTCTTCGATTTAATATTTCTTCCTTTTTTTCTTCTGCCTGAAGATTTTATTTAACTTCTGTATATTTCTTCTTTTTTTTTAAGCCATTTCTTCTTTTTTCTTGTTTTTTTTCTTGATTTCTTTCTCAGTTCCTCCTGGCGATTTTTTTTCTTTCTTTCTTTTTTTTCTTCTTCCGCATGTCTTTTTTCCTCTTTTTTATTCGTTTTTTTTTTGTTTTCTATATGTTATTTCTTTCTTAGTTATTTTCATTTTTCTTACAACTTTTTTTCTTACAACTCATTCATCTTTTTTTCGTTCTTCCCTCTAATGTTTATTTACCTTCTCCTTAATTCCTCTTTTTTTCCCGTTTTCTTCCTTTCTTTCCATTCTTTCTTTTTTCTTTCATCCTTTTTTTCTTCCCTCCTTCCGCCTAGACTGCCGGCTTTTATGCCTTTGTGTTACTTCATATCTTACTGCCTTTCTTCTTACTTTTCTTTCGGCGTCCCTTCATTTTTGTCTTTTTTGCCTCCTTTCCGTCTTGTCTTTTTCCTTCCTTCCTTCCTTCCTTCCTTCCTTCCTTCCTTCCTTCCTTCCTTTTCTTCCTTCCTTCCTAGTGTTCCATTTTCCTTATTGATTTTTCCTTCGTCTTTCTTTCATTTTTTTTTTATTTCCTTAATTTTTTGTTCGTTTTCCTTTCGTTCTATGTCGTTATTCCTTTTTCCAAGTTTTTTCTTCCATCTTTTTCTTCTTCCTCTAACTTTTACATTTTCTTCCTTTCTTTCATCCATTCTTTCGTGTCTTCGTTTTTTTTTTTTAATTTTGCATTTCTTTGTCGAATTTCCTTTCTTTCGTTTTTTCTTAGAATAACTTGCTAATTTTCTTTCATTTTTCGCTCTCCCCCCCTCTCTCACTCTCTCTCTTTGCCTCATTGTTTTATTCTATTTGTCCTTAAAACGTCTCCATAATTATTTCTTATTTTTACTTTCTCGTTACTTCATTCTTTGCTTTCTTCTTCTTCACGTTTCCTTTTTTGTCTTTTAGTTCTTTCATATTTTCATTTCTTCTTTTATGTTCAATTTAATTTTGATGTCTTTCGATTTTCTTTCATGTATTCTGCAGTTTTCTTTCTCGCTTTTCTCTCTTTTATATCATGATTCATTTTACCTATTTTCCTTTCTTTATTTCTTTTTTCTCTTTCTCTTTCTTTCTTCTGTTTGTACTTCTTTCTTTCTTATATTTTTCATTTCTTTCTTTCTTTTTTTCTTTTAGTTCGTCTGTATTTTTTTGCTTTTTCTTTTAGAATTTTCTTTTCGTTTTCCTTCCTCGAAATTCTTTTGCTTTTACTACAGTATTCATATTTACTTTTTGTCTTGTTTCTTCTTTGACCTGTGCTATTTTTTATTTATCTATCTATCTATCTATCTATCTATCCTCTATCTTCCATATCTATCTATCTATCTATCTATCAGTCTTTCCACATCTATCATCTATCTATCTATCTATCTATCTATCTTTCCTTTCCACATCTATCTATCTATCTATTTCAGTCTTTCCATATCTATCTATCTATCTATCTATCTATCTATCTATCTTCTAGTCTTTCCATATCTATCTATCTATCTATCTATCTATCTATCTATCTATCTATCTCATCTTTCCATATCTATCTATCTATCTTTTCCGTATCTATCTATCTATCTATCTATCTATCTATCTATCTATCTATCTATCTTTCCTATCCATCTATCTATCTATCTATCTATCTATCTATCTATCTCAGTCCTTTCCATATCTATCTATCTATCTATCTATCTATCTCAGTCTTTCCATATCTATCTATCTATCTATCTATCTATCTATCTTTCCATATCTATCTATCTATCTATCTATCTATCTATCTATCTATCTATCTATCTATCTATGTATCAGCGTTTCTGTATCTATCTATCTCTCTCTATCTATTTTCTTTCTTCTTGACGGTATCTCTTTCTACTTTTTCTACTTCGTTTTCTTTTTTCTTTAATTTTTTCTTTTTTTTCTTTCTATCTTTCGTTTTCTATCTTCATTTTTCTTTCTTTGTTCATTTTTTTTCCTTTTTTTGAAGAAATCCTTAATTACTTTGATTTGTCTCTTTCTTTTTCTCTCGTTTTGAATCATCTTTCTTTCATTTTCTTTCCTCTTCCTTTTCTCTTGCTTTCATTTTCTTTCCTTCTTCATCATGATTTCTTTCCTTCATTTGTCTTTCCACCTTTCTTTCTTTCTTTCTTTCTTTCTTTCTTAAACTCTTACCTCTCTTTCTTTCTTTCTTTCTTTCTTTCTTTCTTTCTTTCTTTCTTTCTTTCTTAATCCTTCTTTACACCCAATCGCTGGAAGTCAGGACATTTGGGAATTCTTTCAAATTGATGTCATAAATTCCCTTCATTAAGGCCGGCGATGATCCCTGTCTTTTCTCATGATTTGGGACTTGTGATTACCCAAGCAGCAGGCGCCGTAATCTGACAGAATTAAGGGATCAGCTCAGAGTGAAAACAATCAAAATCAAATAGCAATTTTAAAAAAAGGATAGCAAAAATCTCAAACAATCAGCCGTGGCAATAGTCATTATCGCTTGTGTACTGTCAATGGCTTTCTGTTTGATTTGTGGATCATGTAAGAGAATTGGCTGTTTGCAAGGGAAACATCAACACACATTTGACGATTGTTTGTTACTCAAGATTTATTTACACACCAATTAATCGACTTAAATTTTAAAAAGGGGAAGTAGAAATCTTTTTTTTTGTTATAAATTCATTCTTATCTGTCTGTCTATCTATGTGTGTTCATATCTATATCTATCTATCTATATATATATATATATATATATATATATATATATATATATATATATATATATATATTCTATGCATCAGTTTTCTAAATGTATCCCTGTATTCTATCACAATTTACTCATCT